CCCCCGCCCAAAGTGAGATGACAGTTGCCGGAAGTCTTCAGGTCCTATCAGAAATTAGGTGTTAATTTGGATCTACAATCCTGAGCTTTCTTCTAATTGTGGGCATTTGTCTAATTATCGGCCTTTGAAATTATAAAATATCTGTGATATCAGCGTCTTTCTATATTGTGATATCCCACCTCAAAGGAATTTTTGTATTTCTGTGTAACCCTGAAGCTCTTCCCCCAATTTTTTGGGGGCTTGCTTTAGCTAAATTCCCCTACAGCTGTGCTTGGCTTCTCAAGCCATTTAAGTGGCAATAGCTCGTCTAGGAACCTCTGAAAACTCCAAAAAGACCATCAATTCCAATGCAGTTTGAATTTGAAAATCAAGTTTGATCTTATATCAGGTTGGTGATGGTAGCAGCCCAGACACAGGGGACTTGCCAGTATGATTGGTACCTCTAGTCAAGTAGACTAGGATAACGCACAATCTCCTGCATAGTGGTAGCCAGTACAGGGGCAGTCCAAGAGCACGGTAGCAAAATCACTATGTCTCTGTGAAGTGCTCTTCACAGAGACAAGGATTCTTTAAATACTTATTTAGAGCATAGAGATGAGCTTAATGGTTTTAAAAATTGTTTTAATAAAGGCAAAGATGCAGAAAAATATACAGAAAAAGTTGTTAGATAAAGAGACAAATAATAGAACAGCAAAACAAAAAGGGAATAAGAATGAAGTTACTTAGCAAAGTCCGGGGTTCGGTGGGTTCCAGCAGAGTCCAGTCAATGAAGCAGAAAATGGATCTGAGATTGGCTCTCTAGAGGTAAGTCTCCGGACAGATGTTCTTTTCTTGATGGTAAAGGAGAGCTCCAGCTGCCTTGTGCAGCAGCTTTTTTTGGGCCTTCTAGAGGGTGTCACGTGTCACTGAGCCAGCCTCCCACCCAATCAGAAAAGTCCAGGGGTGTGAGACGGGAAGCCTGAAGCGCTTTATGATCTTTCACATGGCCCTCCCATAACTTCAGTTTCCTAAATGCAGCCATAATTTTATTCACCCACATGCTACCGTTCAATAAACCATTTTATCTTGTGAAGTTAGCTTTTTACACATACCAGACTTGGCTGTCATGGCGCACAGAGGCGTCCCTCACCTGGCAGCCGCAGTGTGCAGAGACACCGCCACAGCAGCATTTCTCTGCTGTGGCTGTGCCTCGGAAGCATGGTTTAATGCGGCGCCGTGCATGCGTTTCAGGAGCTGTGCTGGTCCCCGCTTTGGGGCCATCTCCCTTGGTTTTGTCACATGCGGGGAATCCTGGTGTGACGTCTATAAGCCCCAATAGAGATCTGGCATGGCACAGCAACTGACAAGATGCAAAAACTCACTTCCTCCCAAGGAACACGAGCCTTCAGCAATACACTGAACACCGCCCTGACTCCACCTCTGTGTCCACAGGAACAGGGGCTTTGCCTCCAGTCCTGGGTTTTAAAACCCCCCAACACTACTAGCTCAGTGCTAGGTTACTCTGAAGCACTGCTCACAGAGACCCAGCGTGTGTTCCTGCACCTTCGTCCCCTGTTCCTGCATTCCTACCCCCAGTTTTGGACTCCCGGCTACATGACCCTTGGACTGTTTTCTGGACTACTAATTCTACGCTGCCTGACCTGAACAGGGAACTGCATTACTGCGGCTTGTCTCATATATAGAAAAAAGATTTTTAAAAAGACAAAAGCTTTGTTTTTTTAATAATAAAAATGGCAGCTGTTGCAATACACAGTGCTTTAGCAAACTCTGCATCATAACTATGGGGAAAAACACTGACCCCATAGTTCTCCTTTAAGTTTAGATCCACTTTAACTGGCTCGACTGCGCCTCCTGCTGGCCAGAAATGGTAACTATAAAATAAAATTAAAAAACAATAAAATGATTAACCTCCCCGGCGGTATTCCCGAGTGTGGCTCGGGGTTAATTTTCAGTACCAAGAGCGGTAACCCAACGAGGCTCACTCGGGATTACACAAAAGTGTCACTTACCTTGTCCCTAGTAGCCCGCGGTGTCCTCTGCTGTGTGCGTCCGGCCGATGCCGGCATCCGACTTTTAGTTTAGTTTTCGGCGTCACGGGGGGCGGCGGGAAATTAAAAAGTGAAAGCATGCAATATACACAGAATACACACAATATGATGTAATCTGCTATGATTACATTTATGTATCAAACCATTTCACTTCAGTTTTGTCCAGTGCCCTGCCTGACACTTTTACTGTTCTTTCTGCCTGGAAACTTGTTAACGTCCATGGCATCCAAAAAGCGTCCCTTTAGGTTGAAAGCGGTTTTAGACCGGCTAGAAAACAGCGATAGTGATTTAGAATCACTTGCAGAATTGAGCGATAGCGATTCGTTGGGAAATTCGTCATCAGACACTGAAAGTGACGAGGGGGACGATTCTGCGACCGAGCTCAGTGATGTGCCAACTTGGTGCTCTATCGACGGTGGTACGGATCAGGCAGCGCCCCCAGAATTCCCATTTACTGGACCATTTTATTTTATGATATTAATATTATTTTTTTTAAACAATGTACCGCTTTGGCATGCAAAAAAACTGCATAATCAGACCGCCAGGGAGGTTAATTTTTTAGCCTTGCACTTAATAAATAAAATACTGCATGTTCCCTTTAAAGGGTTTAGGGCTTGTTCCGCTGATATTGTTTGTAAAAGCTTGTTTTTAGAATATTAACATGTTCAAACATTTACAGGCAAAACAAAAATCAATGTTGGTCAAAGTTCTCTCTGTGCTTTGTTCATATAAATGAGGAAGGCCTGTGCACAGTTCCCACAAATGTCAGTAGTCAGTGGTGAGCCCATCGCAGAGAAGATGCTTCGTGTGTTTGTGATTCTCTCTCCCCGCTGCATGTCGCCTTGGCCTTCTTTAAAGATTCCATTTTTGTGGACAATGGTGGCATTTGGGGCGACTGGGGTGACCCAGAGATGTGTCCTCCTGGAACCTCTGCGAGAGCTTTCAGCTTGTTGGTGAGTGGCAATTCATTTTGAGAGCAGGAACGTGATAGATATTCGTCTCCATCTAAATCTAACTTGCTTCAGCTTCTAGAGATGAGGGAAACTGACCATTTTTGTTTTTTCTAATGCTTCAGGAAAATTTCCAACATCTCAGCTAAATACACTGGAGTCAATGGGGCAAAATGAAGGGGGCTGAAGGTGATTTTAAGGCTGCAGTAGGCTTTACTTGGCTCCTGAGGGTTATTTTTTATTCCTATTTTTAATATATATTTAATGATTTAATTTTTGTTTCTCATAGAGACATAAAATACATAAACATTGGTAGAAGAAAATACATGTTTCTTACTCTTTATTATTATTGTTTAATTTTTATGTTATGTTTCATGTTGTTCTTTTTTTCCATCTTTTTTATTTTCTTAATGTGAGGCAAATAACAAATTAATATAGAAACACACACACACACACACACACACACACACACACACACACACATACACACATACATACACACATACACACACACAAATACACACATACACACATACATACACACATACATACACACATACACACATACACACACACAAATACACACATACGCATACATACGCACACACACATGCAGACACACACACATGCAGACACACACACACACTTACATACACATACACACACATACATACACACACAAATACACACATACACACACATGCAGACACACACACACATGCAGACACACACACATACACACATACATACATGCACATACATACACATACACACACACACATACACATACATACACACACACACACACACACATACACACACACACACACACACATACATACACACACACACACACACACACACACACACACACACACACACACACACACACATACATACACACACAAATACACACATACACACACATGCAGACACACACACACACATGCAGACACACACACACACACACACACACATGCAGACACACACACACACTTACATACACACATACACATACACACACACATACACATACATACACACACACACACACACACACATACATACACACACACATACACGCACGCACACATACACACACATACATACACACATATACACACATACACACACATACTGTACATACACACACACACACACATGCAGACACACACACACACACGCATACATACACATATATACACACACATACAGACACACACGCATACACACACATACACACACACATATACACACACATACACACACACACATATACACAAACACACACACACAAGAAAACAAAAAAGCACAAGGTGAGGAAAAGTAAACTTATTGTGTTGTCATTTGATTTATTGTCACAGCAAGGAAAAGAAGGTGAATACATTGTAACATGAACAAAACGTGCACAAGGAGATATTTTTGTTTGTTACATTTTTGCGCATTTTTCTACTATATGTGAAAAAAGCATCAAATAAAAATAAATACACAAAAATGTGAAACAAAAAAACAAAAACAAATACATTCTTGGGTATTAATCTTTCAAAATGTTTGGTGCTACAAATAATTTTACACAAAACAGCCTTCAGAAAGCTTGTGCTCCTCCTGAATGTGACCTGGCAGCTCAATGTTAAATATAAATGATTAAAAATAATAATAATTATTAATATTTTATTTTTTTCTGAATAATAATAAAATATTTAATTAAAACAATATATATATA